TTCTATATTATTAGTAACGAGATTTATCTGTTAAAATTTACAGAATAAAATGTTGATTTTATTCTATATAACATAAGAGAGAGTGATTTCGAACCGTCATTTGACTTATTACATCTGTTTTACACACAATTTATTTCAAGTTATTTTGAGATTTGCATTTATTTTGTGTTAAAATATTAACAGAGTATTAGTGTGATCATTTAACATATCCATATTATGTTAAATTAACACAAAAATTTGTGTGAACCGTTTGGGACATGTGATATCTGTTAAATTTAACACAAATTTTTCAACTGTCTATATTTACACAACAAAAAGTAAAAAAATTTCTTTGGTAAAGGTACACAGATTTATATATTTCCATTATTAATAGTGTAAGCGCTACACTTATTATGTATGTAATTTTATATACTTTCTTGCAGTGTACTTCTTCCGCGGATGAAAATATCTCTTTGATCCTTGCGCGAGCAGCGGCGAAGATAAACCCCCGAAGAATTAGGCCAGTTTAAGGCGCACTCACACGATCGCCGAGCACTGTTAATATATTCATGATCGTGCGAACATCGTAACCGACTGATTGATAACGTGGTGTATTCATGCTGACGGCTCGCCCGCGTGCCGATGTACCGGCGTAACGTCTGTCCGTGTGAGGACCCCCATAAGTACAGCGGGCAATTCGCTATCAAGCATCGCACGTGGTGGTGAGTGACGGCCACCAGTGCGATTCACCATCCCGTATCGCGACGGAATTAGCGGGTAACCGAAATAATTTATAGCCGCGGACTTCATGCGCCGCGCTTTCCTACCTATCTCTCTCCCTCTCTCTTTCTCTGTCTGTCTGTCTCGCTCTCGTCCCGTACTGACCCTGAAACCCACTATAGTTCATTCATTACGCCATCCCGCGGTGGTATTCTCACATGACGCACGAATTACCGTAGTATTCAGGCCATATATTACTCCCGGAGAACGTTAAGAATGGTCGAATTTATACGTACGAATGTACGTCGTGTTACATCGCAATGTGCATATGTGCGCACGTGTCAAATTGGAGGCATGTGGCGATAATTTTCAATTTGTTCTGTCAAATACTTTCTATTACTATAATATAATGTCTAAGCATATTGTCAAAGTTGGGCAGCGAGTAAAAATAGCGTTTACTAAAATTCCCTTGAAGATCCGTTTCTATAGACGCAACAATGTTTAAAAAAAAAATATATATATATAATTAAATTAATCTTAATATATTTTCGTGCTTTTTGTTAAAGATTAAATTTTGTATGTACAATCGTGGCAAAAAGTAACTGAAAATCGACTTTGACGAATGTTCTTCTCATATAGCTTGGGCAATAAAGATTACGGAGAATCTTATTACTTCTTCATAACTGGAGTTCAGAAATATATTTCTTCGTCCGTTTTTTGTCATTTGAATCCACGCGGTCACGCGTTTTTCGTAGCCTCGCGGGTAAATTCGTTGCAGATTAAAATTGCTTCACGATTGCTTCAGTGAACCGAATTTTCCGGTCTCCGGACACATGTGCAAACAATCGGTAAAAACTTAGTTAAATTCCCCAATATATTTCAAAAATTATAGACACTAAGCATCCTCAAATATTCCTCGCTCCCAAAGTTCCATCCTGACAGATTGTTTTACGTACATCACGTTAATATACTTTGTTACTTACTGCGAAATACGTAGACGTCATGCACATTGACGTCATTGAAGCAATTGCTCAAGGATCAAAACGGATTTGCCCGTCATAAACGTTTCTGATTTATGTACCCGTCATTTAGTACTAAATGCGGCTGATACCGTGAGCCTTATTTATTTAAGGGTCGACGCCACTAACATAGATTAACTTTAACTACAGTTTAATCGATCCTCTTTCTCTCTGTCCAGATGGCAATACCGATACGACATAGACGGAGAAAGAGGATTTAACGCAGAAAATTAGACGGAGGAAATTACGTATGCCGCGCGTTTCCTCGCGTACTTCCGACTCGGGAACGATAAATCGCGCGGTTCTTAACTTTTGTCTTTTTATAAACTTTCTCCTCAAATAAACTTCGACATTCTTTTCCTCGGCGCCCTGCGAACAGAGCAACGGTGCCTAACGAAGTAATCCGTTTAATCTCAAATTCTTCCAGACTCATTCCGGCGCGTGCCTATAAATCCGCGCGCATTTACAGAGGCGTGTAGTCCGAAATAAATAACCGTGTGTAACTGTAAATTTCAAAGTGCGCGAGAGAGCGGCGCCGTTTGTTTTAATTATTCACTCCCCCCCCCCCCCCCGTAACTTCTGTGCTATTTTCTTTTTCAACGATAAATCGCATTCTCCGCGCGTCGTGAAAGGGTCGCAAACTTCGTCAGCGAGGAAGCTCGTGTCATAAGCCCTGATCGAAATTTATCACGCTAGGCACGTCAAGATGCGGATCTCAGACGGAGGATTATAAATTCGACGAGGAGATTTTCACGAGCGAGCGGAATTCGCCGTAGAGAGAAATTGCGAGGACTTTGAAACATTAAAAAATACTCTGGGAGAAAAAAGAACAGCAAACCATTTAGGGGCCTACAATTAGTGATCGAATTATTTGGATTGTTCGTAACACTCTACTCTGCGAAAAATTTTTATATGCAGCATTGGAATTTAAATCATCAACATTTTCGATACAATTCGCACGTTGAGAGGAACTGTTAGTTTTCTTAATTTCTGGTGCCTCTTGTAGTCTAATTTAAACGGGCGCTTTTAAAGCTATTTTCCTAGTTCACGAAACATTCTTTCGGCACACTCTGGGAAAAAGAAGACAGTTGCAACCCATGTTGAGGCCCACAATTAGTAATCGAATTATTTGGATTGTCCGTAACTCTACTCTGCGAAAAATTTTGACCGTTTTTTGTAGTTAAGCAACTTAACTATTTCGGTTAGTGCCTCTTTGAGTTGAAATATCGACAGAACTAATTGAGAGAGTTGATTGGTATTACTTAAAAATCTTGGATATAGACAGAATAGCTAATTGCGATCTTTAGTTATGAACAATCCAAATAATTCAATTACTAATTGTGGGCCCAAAAATGGGTTGCTCACTGTCTTCTTTCCCAGAGTAACAAAAAACGATAATACACGCATTACACAGCGATGATAAAAGTTTGAGAATATTCGCAAATTTCACATCCGTATGACAATTAATTTCTTGTGTTTCTGATTCTCTCGTAAACAAATTAACGAGAGACGCCGCGCGCGTTTTCCTCTGCAGTTTCCTACGTAATATTCCACGTAAATGTCCTTTTGCGAAAATCGCGTTTGGTATTTCGGTCTCTTCTAAATCGGTAGAATAACAAGAAGGTTGGGAAAGCGACGGGTCGAGCAATTATCTTTGTTTAAGTTCAGATGGAAACGGCGCTCGTTACATTACGTCTTTGCTCATTAAGAGCTCGGCGGTTCCAGTTCGATTTTTCTCTCTCCGCGTTAATGACGCGTTCTGAGACGACAGCGCGAACGTTAGTGTACACCATTTGTCATTCGTACAAACGTTGCAAACGTTCCACCCGCGAGATTCGACAAGTAATAGCCGCGTCAGACCCTCTCATTCTTCGCGTTCCCGACGAAAACTTTTCTCGCCCCTTTCCACCCACCCCAAGGTGAGAAACGGTCCCTTGTCCTCGAGAAAATTCAATTTCCCCTCACGGTGGTCGGTCTCTCTCTCTTTTTTTTCGAAGGCAATAATAAAAGTATAAGTAACGGGAGACTTTTCGCCGGTCGGTGTATTTGGCCGAGGGAAAGACAAATACCGGAGCCATTAGTTTGCCAGATTATTGATTGCCCGCGACACAACCAATGTATCTGGTCCCGCACATGTCAGATTCGCGCGACTGACGCGTCGATCAACGCGCCGTATCATACGAAAGAGTATCTCATTTCGAGTATCTAATTTCGCGGTGGAAATATCTGGAGTTCGCGCGGGGCAGTGATCCGTATAAATGACCATCCTTATATCTCCGAGGGCAGGACCCGCGACGTGAAACGTTCTTTGAGGGACGCATTGTCGTTTTGGGGCCTTGAGAGGGTTAAGGGGACGTAAGGCGGATGACGGCGCGCACAATATTCCGGTCTACGTCGGCGGACATGCGGAATTATATATCGGAAATTGGAGCCCGATATTCAAACCAAGTATGTCAGGGTTTATTACGTGCGAGGCCGTCATGCGGCGCGACCATGTCACCTTCGATGCCTCGTTCGATTCTAATTTATTGAGCACATAGGAAACGAGTAAATTGAACCTATTTCGTGCCTAAGCTAAGTAAATATTTCGCGATAACTTTAGAAAACGCTAATCGAGCGGCAATCTCTTGCTCTTGCGCCCAAGTGAAATTGTCTACGCAATTAGGAAAAGATTTCATACATTGGGGACATTAGAAGACGTGGCGAAGAAGAGCGTATAATTGACGCTGGTTAAACAATTTTTAAAGCTCGGAAGAAGCGCTTGTTACGGCGCGAGGTGATTCGGAGCTTTACGAGCGACGTGAACGATCTTAATCGTAAAAAGAACCCTCGTCGGCACGCGCCCCGCGCGATATTTTGGCCCGACGTGTGGCCAGCACGCGAGAAACATGTGGCCTGCATGTGGAATACAATGCGGCATCCGTCGACGAAGGAGACTTAAGGATGTTGGGAAACAAACGGAACCGCAGAAAGGAGCCGCGTTTGTTCCCGCGTTGCAACGATGCGCTCGGCTCCCCTGCATTGTCTTCGATCGACAAATCGTTATCGCGATAAGGAACGTTTCGAATGACGATCAGCCGCGAGAGATAATAGTCGCTTCAGCGAGCACCGATTATCCCGCTAAAGCGCCGAGATTTATATCGCCAGAAGTCGCCCGGAGTTTCCGAAAGTTCGCCCGGGGCTTAAAACCCGATGCGTTGATGAAAATTAATTAATTAGCCCAAGATCGCCGACGCTCGTTCGTTTTGCGTGCAGGCGGGCAGACAGAAGACCCGATAAAACACGGCGGCTGCAACCCCTTCCATCCGCGGCGGCCGCGAGGCTGCCTGCAGTCGACGTCGAAGCGGAGGCGCGCGAGCGTCGATGCCCGCGCCGATCAGTCCGCGCGGGACGCTCGACGAGCGAGGATCGCGTTCTCCGGCTTGCCTTGCTCTCGAAGTCTCTCTCTCAGGTGCGTCGGTGGTTAACGGCGCGGGAGGGCGAGAAAGAGCGCTAGTAGTTTTTCGCACGCAATTCCGCTGGGCCGACGGTGTCGTGGGGGAAGGCGAGAAAAAAAACGGCGGCGATCATAGAGGAGCATTTCTCGCGAGACGACCCCAGGGGCATCGGAGCACAGATGGTGAGAGGTGAGAGAAACGAGCAAGAGTGAGAATACGCGTGTACATACGTGCATATAATGTATTTATGTCCCTCCGCGCGAAATACGAGGGCACTTTTGCCTGCAATCGATCGGCCACCGGAGAAACTCCCTTAGTTACCCCTTACCCACCCTTAATAGAGCCAGCCCGACCGACGTGACTATGACGATGGCCGGGTCGGCCGCGAGAGAGATCGTCTTCTCTCTTATGTGCGGGACGATGCGCGGGTTAACGTCCCTTAATCCCGGGATCGGGACTTAATCCGTCACGTTAATCGAATTCGAGGGAAATTAGCTGCTTAGTCGTCTGGCCGAACGCGGGGAAATGTAATCGAGGCGCGATGCGACGCGATGTCCGGGTAATTTTGTCATTTTCGAACGAACCGTCGAGATTAACATCTGTTTAAATCCCAGGG